GATAAGCGGTCGATGTAAAAGCGGAAGGTTGGGCGAAATGAGTACTGTATGACCATGTTTCTCCGACGAAGTCTCGACTGACAATAATGCTGACAATGGACGTTAGATAAACACGCATTGTTTGCAACTGGAAGCTTATCATCCGTTATATTAGAATCGTCAACAACAGAGTATACAGATAAGGATATATCATTTAATTCCTTCCAAAGATAAACACTATGCAAATATCCACGAAACGGCAGTTGTAGTCTTTTCTGCTAGTGTTTTAAAACACTAATTTGAGCAACGTTATCTCGCAATTTCGATCTTTTGTAAACCTGGGGTGATGTATCAAGGTCTAAAGTAACCGTTTTATCAATTTTTGAAAAATCAAGAAAAAAGTAAAAATTTCCCTTCTCGCTACCTTAAATAGCCTTCATTTCACCCATTCACCTCGATGAAGCATGTTGCCACTAGAGGGCGTGATTTATATGAAAGATACGAGGTGACATGGGGATAAGTAATCATCGTCCTGCGGGAATTCCGCTACTGTTGGCGATGAGGGTTCTTCAACGTTTGCCGAGGATATGGGAAGCATACGGCAGTGGCATATGTTGTCGTTCTCAGTAATTAGACAAGATCCCATTTTCCCATGATTGGTAACCTTGACAGATTGTACTACATTTTCATGATCTGTACTGAGATTTTGTCGCGGTGCTTGTCTGAAAAGGATTTTTTTTTTCATACATATGAGCACAGTGCCTGTGGGGCTGATTGATTAGCGGTAGGAGGCCAACCTGCTGTACTAGGTTCCCGTGAGTGAACATTGTTTCGCTTGGCAATCACAGCCGGTGAAAAAAACATACGAAAAAATATGCTTTGGGCTAGTTGTTGAGACTCTTTATTGCAACAAGATTAACCCTATTTGTGCAACTTATGTGGATTTGGTTGTTTAGGATTGTCTCATAGTTGAGTTTGTGCTATTTTCAAGTTCTCGAGTTTAGATGTTTTCACCGGTTCTTCAACCGGCGTTGCACAGCAGTTCGCGCAGAGCCCATAGAAATACATGGTACAGTGGTGCGCATCTTAGCAACGTAGAACTTTCTGAGACGTAGCTCCGCCCCCGAGAATAATTAACTTCAGGAGACAATTAAATGCGAATCGAACTAAACCATATCTGGTGACTTTTTGCGAACTGTACAGCTTCCAAGTGCCCCGCCCCTGTCACATAATGATATTGTCTTTTCTGCTGCTATGTATAGTTTCTTTTATATTTATATTTCAATTAATTCAATGTCTTATATCACATGATCCAAGCAATATCAGACGGTATTCGGTAATGGTTGTCCTCCAGTCAGTAACTATCATTTTGTTGGCATCTCCATTGAATCAAAGACTTTGATTGAATAGGGCATATAAACCCACCGCATTTGGCATTTGTTGAACGCTGAATCAATCAGATATAACTTTTACGTCACTTCTGTAATTTATGCAAGCGCATTGGCTACTTAGCATAGGCCCAGTATGCTTGCTTGTATGCACCACAGTCAGAGGGACTGTGTATGCACCAATCCTCGGGCATACATCCGGGCATTTTCACCGCCTGGCAACCATCGCGGTGAAAACAAAGGCCAAAAACTCACAGAAAACGGTACTTTGGGATTCGTTGTTGAGACTCCCCTGAACAGTGTAACAAGATTATCCCTACTTGTGTAAATATAAATTCTGTTGTTCAGGATTACTTCAAAGTTGAGTTTGTGTTGTTTTCTCGAATTTTCACCAGCTCGACCGGTGTTCCACGGCAGCGCGCACCGAGCCCATAGAACTGCATGGTACAGTGGTGCGCGTCTTAGCAACGTAGAACGTCTGTGACGTAGCTCCGCCCGAGGATAGAAATACAAGGTACAGTGCGAACTCCGCGCAGTTCGATGGCATTACTTATCATTACTGCACAAACAGGGGGGGGGGGGAGTTGCATGACACGATTGGTTGAAATACTCGTCTCATTTGCATAAATTAATATTCATGAGCAATGAAAAACTCGTCTTTTCAGTAAAATTGTGCCAAAATGCTTTCCGATAGCATACATGTTAGTTCTACATTGACTAATTCTATCGTTACGAGCTGAAAAAATAATCGGAAAAATGATGTAAAGGTAATTTTTGAGACACGTTTTCGATCAGACTCCAGCTAACTATTGAAATTAAACACAGGTTTTCTCTTTACCATGATCATAGCAAGTTATGAAATTCATGGAGAATGCAGAGGCACGTTTATATTTCACTTTAGTACTATTGCTCAAAATTGCTCAAAATGTTTTCGGTGACTTTTATCAGTGACAAGTTACCTAATTAGTATGCATTTCAATGAACCACAGTGTGTGTGCATGCGCAGTTTGAAATGGAACAGTTTTGAACGCAATAAAATCACGCGTAGAACTCGGGCTCCAGCAAGAAATTGTGGCGTCAAACTGGTTGTCGGTTGAATTGTTTTGAAATAGACATAATTTTGGAGCCTGTATTTGTCTATGAAATGTTTCTAAGTTTTGTTGAGGATTATTCTGTAAAGGAATGGCTGAAATTATGTTATCTGTTCGTAGACGGGACGTTGTTGCTTTGACGATGGCTACGGACGACTGACGTCGAAACGTTCCATTCAGATCAGATGGCGCCCTCTCGTGCCAATCCCCCATGTGCACAAAGCAGCTTTGCATAGAACTCATTTGCATATTCGAATATGTTCGAACTACAAGACCCTGTCGGTTAACAAAATTATGCGTAAATCACTTGGTTATTTAATCACTTTAATAAGACGTTTCACGCCCCGACTCCGAATAAAATGTTCAGTTAATAAGATTAAAATATACATGACTTGCGTTATAAAAGTGCATTTCTTTCCTACATGCCAAAGCATTAGATTGTATAATGAATGACTAACTTTATAAACTTACTAGAACCTGTAAGAAATAGTATTGAAATATTCACCAGAATACAAGATGAACGGAAATGTTAGGAAACTCTTTTCAGTGCAATTAGTCTTTAATTTTTCTTTCCCAACTATATACGTCAACAAAAGGTTGTAACATTACCTTGCAAAACATAGTCCGCTATAAAATGGTTAGTATTTACCAGAGGTACATTACTTGGGGTTTGCAACTCGCATAGTATTGTATGGTGACATCATGTCAAGATCCCATTCAAGTCTCTTATCGTGGATAGCGAGACTGAGGCTACGACCTTCTGACATGACACATATCAATGTTCAAGGTTTGTAATGAAAAAATACAACTGTTCTTGTCACTATCATAGTGAAAAATGTAATACATCGAAAATGTACAGAAAATATAGTTCTCGTAATCAGTCATATCGTGGGCAGCTATTTTGATCCATCTGGACATCCCAGTATCCTAGTTACCTCGGGCATGCGCATTCGCATTTTTCTGAGTTAGACCGCTTATGCGAGAGCGAGATTGTAACGGGATCTTGGTATAATGTCACCGTAGTTGCAAACCCCAAGTAATGTACCTCTGTATTTACGTATTAACTGAAGTCTGACATTAATAAATAGTTCGAACTGAATGTCACATACGTTTTTTTCCACTTTTTGTAATTCGGTTTCAAATGAAACAACCGCGGAAAAATGGCCGTGCGTAGTGAGGTGATTGACCACAAAATTGAAGGCTGCCTGTGGCAGAGGCACTATTGCGTAAAGCGCAAAGGCCTCTGGGAAGGAGATTAGGTACAGTGGTGCGCATCTTAGCAACATAGAACGTCTTGTGACGTAGCTCCGCCCGAGAATAATTAATCTCAGGAGACAATTAAATGGGAATCGAACCACCCCACATATGACTTTTTACGAACTGTACAGCTTCCAAGTGCCCCGCCCTTGTCACATAATGATATTGTATTTTCTGCTGCTATGTATAGTTTCTTTTATATTTATATTTCAATTAATTCAATGTCTTATATCACATAACCCATCGGCATGGAAGGTACTTACCAATATAGCCTGACAAGATCGCGTGAGTTGCGCCCTCCGCGGTGTTCCAAGCCCAAGAGAGGTCTGATGCCGTTCATTCGGTGAGGGCGCCACTCACGCCTACACGTCAGACTAGTCCCAATACGGTGTATAAAGTAGCTTGATGTTTCGAGCAATGGCACTCACCACCAGCAATCACAATGATAATGGAGGCGACTATCCCCGGAAAGGGCGGGGAGGGGGGTACTCGCTTAGAAAACGAATACGTAATTTGCCGCTCGAATGGGCTACTTTTATCACTTTTCTAGGGGGATTGTTCGAGAAAAATATCTAAAAAATCTCTAAAAAAAACCTAAAAAGTATGCTTAATTAGACCAAAAAATTTCGAGAAATTAGCGCAATTTTCATCCGAAGATTTATCGCCCAAAGAAAGCTTCTTTTTTTTAATATTAAACCACATTCCCGAGAACAGGCTCTATATTTTGAGTTCCGGCAATATTTTGTTGAGGATGGGGCGTGTACGCTCAGAATATACAAGTCATGACTTTCCGTCAAAGCAGCTCCCATAACGGGGGGGGGGGGGGGGGGGGGGGCTACTCGGATTCATTGTTAAGTATTCGGATTGAACCAGCACAAAAATTACAACCGATTACTGACGTGTATGTCCCAATAATAATTTCAAATTTGAAAAAAAATCCTTATTGATTTGGAAGATGAGTCACAAATTACGTCACGTAAAATGAACAATCTCAAATAAATAACAGTAGGGCGACGTGATGGCACGACTTTTTCATAGGAACCAGAGGCTGCAAATACAGGGACGCAATATTGATTATTCGGCTATACGTATTGTCAGTTTATTTATGTATTGATAAATGTAATTATTCAGAAAGTTTATCTAAAATAAATACTCAAATTTTCAATAAATATTACAACATTCACATATTTATTGACAAAAATATATGTTACCTCCCCGTATATAGAATGGACTGCGCTTCCCGACAGAGCCCTCTCACGACCGACTTCACTCCCGTAAAATTTCAAGATGGAGGACGGCAGCTCGGTTGATTCTGCGATCAGCGGTGACGATGCCGGAATACTACCGACTCCAGGCTACATGGAAATGGTAAAACGAGTGGCTGAAGTTCAGTGGCGTCTGGTTTCAAATATTCCAACAGGGTTTAGCTATTATGAACAGTTGAAAACATACTGCCATTACACGTGGTTCGATGCCAGTCTCATTCTTGGCTTCGCTGTTTTGTGGACCATTCTCCGATCCAGTCTGACATCAAATGTTTACAAGGTACGCTTTTACAAAATGTTATTCTCTTGAAATCAAAAATACTGTCACTGTATGTTAGTTTTATTTGGAAACGTGTTGTTTCATTAGAAATCGGTAAAAAAAACAGCGTTTTTTAACCAACGATCGACGCACTTCCATCGAAGCCGGCTTTCTCTTGTGCCTTTACTTCCTGTCACTTAGTCATTGTTTTCTACTGCACGTCTCCCTTTCCCGTTTTCCGGCCTGTTTATACAGTACAACTTTACAATACTTGTCGTTTCACAACAATCGGTGTTTATCGTAAAAAAAAATGGACTTTGCGATTTTTGTTATCGTCTTGAACGCTAGATGTGGTTTTGAGATATAGGGTCCGTGAGATGAATACGTACGAACATCATTCCATTGTTGAGTGGGTTCACGTCATGTCAGCGATCATCTTTGTTATCTTTGCATCTGTCACACTCCGATCATCTTCCTGTCATTTTATATCATGTTGTGTCGCTTGTTGTCACAGATCAAATTTAGAGTCAATCTTCGAGACAATGGCTTTATCCAAAATTCACTCAAAACGTTGAGACTTTGTACAATCGCCCATTGTCTGTCCATGTAGACAATATGATTGTTTTCCAGTAGGCTAACCATGCATGTTAGCCGATAAATACGATTTCGGTGTTGCTAGTAGCAACGTAACAAATTATGGGATGGAGATTTTATTTTTTCCCACAGTGTGCTGCACACTCCAGTGAATTACTGTAGCATACTTTATTTTCGCTTGGAATTAATTTTTTGCTGAAGGGATGATTCTGTGAAAATAAAATCCAGCGAATATACTTTTTTTCTTATATTTCACATTAAACTCATCAAAAATCAGTGAAAATAAATTCCATACAAAATGCGCAAATAATCCTTTCAGCGAAAATTAATTCCAGCGAAAATAAATTATTTTACAGTACTTGTCTCAAAGGCTTATGAATGTTTTTTCCAAAATTTTAACTTGCGTCATGTGACATGTCTAATTATTTGCCATAGTTGGGTATGAAAAAGTAAATTTAACATAAAACGTTAAAGCGGGAGGGTCGTCACCTGCACATGCGCGGGAATTGAGTCCCAAGCAACGATAACAACACACGCTAAAAATGCAAAGGTTTATGGGTAAAAAAACGGTCACTGGTAGCAAAGTGGTTGACGCATCAGACACATGATCGGTAGACCCAAGTTCAAATCCTACCATAGGCTGAACATTGAAAGGGTCGACCCCCTACCCTGGGTGAGTGTGCCACAGACTCAAAGGGAAGGTCAATTCCACTGGCTGAGATTCATTCACTAACGAATGCAACTTTAGGGTAACCTTGGTTAAGGTCCGCAGGTGCTTGTGTTCGACCGAGCCTGGTTGACGCCACGATAGCGCATTCAAATTGCCGTTTGTTAGGGAGGTGGCCGCACAGCCCTGTCATGTAGTCCCAAACAGGAAATGACTTCTGTGGCAAAATGCACTATGTGTCAGCACTAGCATTTGCAATTTGCACTTACAAAATAGACAAAGTCAGGAGAGACAACAGTGACATTCAATGTCCAAAACTGTTGCCTGGCACAAAAACAATATTAAAAAAAAAGAAAAAAAGGCTCATGGGTTGATGCTTGTTTGTAAACAATGACACGCTATGGCCATCTGAGGCATGCGCAAGTGACGACTCTCCCCACTTTAAGCTCTAAAATTAATTTGAACATTTTGAAAAAATAAAAGCAAATGTCCGGTGAGCAAAATGTAATAGTTGATTTCTCTAGGGATGGACCATTAGAAACTATGGGGGTGGCAATGGCCGAAAAACTGCAAAATATTTGTTTCCTTTGCTTGATTTTGTGCCAAGTTTATTTTCTGTGTGTAATACTTTTCCCTAGGGGGTAGGAAATAGGCATGCAGATTTTTTTTTCTGTTATTGATTCCTGCAGGATTTTTTTTACATAATATTTTTCTCTGCAATTTTTTTTTTCAATTCTGCCATCCCCCCCCCCCCACAGAATTTATAATGGTCCATTCCTTATGGTCATATTCTGATCGTCGAAGGAAATAAACAAGTTTCTCTTTGGGATGTGGAAATGGCTAATTTGCATAAAATAAAATAAAATAAAATAGACCAACTTACACAAAATTTTGTATGTAATCAAAAAAAAAATGGAAAATGTGAACCTGAGCTTCTTTACATGGAAACCAATTTTTAAAATCCCCTCTACATCACTGCCTCTGATAATGACTCCCATTGATTCTGTAAACTGTTTTATGGCATTTTTAAAGACAACATTTTGTGAAAGTCACTGACACCACCAGCCTTTCACCAGTTACCTAAATCTGGCCTTCCACTAACCCTTCGCCATGTTCTGGGCTCCCACAAGGCTTTCATAAGTCACCAAAATCTAAGCTTTTCACTAACCCTTAGTTACATCAGGGGGTTTTCTTGAAAAAAGAAACATGAGCGAGCACACACAGGCGAGGGAGCGGAGCGACCAAGTAGGTGGAGGATGAGTGGAATGTATCGTAAGGTTTCTGCGCCGTTTTAACGGTGTATCTATCACCATTGAATTGTTTTTTGAGTAACTTTAGTGTATTTGGTGTCCAGACACATTGTCAGCTGGTGTTGCTGGGAAGTTTTCACGGAGAAAAATATATTTGAGAAAGATTTCATATTGTATGACAGCAGGGAAGTGCGCGCCTCAAGAAATATATTTGTAACTTGAAAGTTCAATCGGCAGTTCGGTAAGAAGGCGCCAAGCAAGAGTATCAGAGCTGCGCCTCTGTTCCCCAGTTTAGAAAACCCCTGGTTACATTATTAGTAATTTTTTGAATGTGTTTTCCTCCAGACAGAAAGACCACTCAATATAGTCTATGCAGACCAAAACATGACTCTGGTGTCCTGTTTTTAAATGTGGTTAACACTTATCTGTTTAGCCAGAAATGCTGACAATAAGGGCAATGCTGTACTGTAGATAACCTGTCATATTTTAGATTGTGGGGGCTAACTAACCCATAAATCTTGAGAGATATACTGTAAAATACTTTATTTTCACTTGGAATTTATTTTTGCTATTTTCACTGAAGGAATGATTCAGTGAATATACCTTTTGTCCTATATTCTATATTCAACTCATCAAAAATCTATGAAAATAAATTCCATACAAAACACCCAAAAAGTCTTTTCAGCAAAAATTAATTTCAACTAAAATAAAGTATTCTACAGTATTACAGCTACACTGTTTATATCATATTTGCTTTTTCAGAAGCACATCTCCAATAAAAACTTGTACAAACCAAAAATTCATTATATACAAAATCCGTGTTCACTACAGAAACTTTAATCAATGTGGTAGTAAAAATTTACATACTCATTTGCATAATTAATCCAATTAATCAAGATTACTCAATTATACAACGCATCCAATTTTTGACAAACAAAACTGTTTTTTTTGCTTCACGAGTGTTACAAATACTGTAGAATACTTTATTTTCGCTTGGAATTTATTTTCGCTATTTTCGCTGAAGGGATGATTCTGTGAAAATAAAATCCAGCGAATATACTTTTTTTCCTATATTTCACATTTAACTCATCAAAAATCAGTGAAAATAAATTCCATACAAAACGCCCCAAAAGCCTTTTCAGCGAAAATTATTTCCAGCGAAAATAAATTACTCCACAGTACACACATAAGTTTTAAGTTTTTCAGCAACTTAAGAAAATCAGCGAATGGAACAGCGGAAATGGTGCTGTGGCAGTCTGAATAATGACTGTGATGGTGTCAGACCAGTGTGGTGGTAAAACAGAGCACTGTGGTAGAGCAGTGCTCTCCCCAGAAAAACTGCATAGAGTATCGGGTAATTTGCATAACAATATAATATGTTAATTAATCATCTCTATTGTATTCATTGTAATGATTAATTAACTCAATTGTTGATTCAAAATTGAACAGTTGGGAACCCATACTCTATAATGCCCTGGGGAGAACACTAGTGGTTCTGCTGCCATGCTGTTTGTATCCTGCGGAGAAATCTGCTGTTTCACTATAGAAATATAGTTTTTTATGTCCCATAGAAAGTACAATTCTGTAATTTACCCAAAACGCATGTGCTACTAATGCAGCAAATGAGCTACACATATCTAATTGAAAACAGAGTTCTCCACAGGTAAACATAACATTCTGCAGCCCTGCCTGGTAGAGCACTCTAATTATGACTATATGAGAAGCGAAAACCTACAGTGTTCTTCCCAGCAAAATAGCACAGGGATCGCATTAACCATATATTTTGCTTCCCGGACTCCAATTATTGAAGAGGGATCCAGTTTTCCAGGCAAGCTATAAGGTCCAATTGCTAATAAATTTATCCAGGGTCAAATTTAAACTCGTCTTGCCGAGAAACTAGCGCAAACCCTGATATTATGTACTGTAAAAACTGTATTAATACCCACATCCTAATAGAAGTCGACCCCATAACTTTTGAACAATCGAGAACCAAAAATTCACTATTTCTCATTTGTGTAGATGATCTAATAGAAGTCTCCTCCACCTCTGTTGTATTATACTATTTTAATAGAAGCTGCAGCTTCTAATACATTTTTTTACAGTAGTATTAGCTAATTTGCATAACACTAAAATGTGTTGGTTACATTTGTTGTGTACATTGTTATGCTAAATTGGTTCCATTGTTTATGCGAAATTAAAGAATTGTAGTAAAAAAGAAGTGGAAATAGACCGTCGGTCGATACTCCTGCTGTACTGTCTCAGTACACACTTTGCAGTATCCTCGCAATAACCTCGTATTATTCAGTACATGGATTGTCATAAACGGTGTCATCAAGTGTATCTATGGCAACAGTAAGTTCCGTGCACAGTATGAGACACAAATGTGTGACACCCCCCCCCCCTCAATCGCAGGGTTTTGTCAAAGTCGATCATGGCCATGATCATGTTAGGAAAGGCAGTATTTTGATCCCAGTTAAATTGAATGATTTCATTGGGCATGCCACTTGCAT